TGTATCTGGATGTACTGTTATTCTTTATTATGTATCTGGTTGTACTTGTGATGTACTGTTATACTTTATTATACTGGTTGTACTGTTATACTTTATTATACTGGTTGTTCCAGATACATAATAAAGAATAACAGTACAACCAGATACATAATAAAGAATAAGAGTACATCACAGTACAACCAGTATAATAAAGTATAACAGTACAACCAGATACATAATAAAGAATAAGAGTCTGGTTGTACTGTTATACTTTATTATACTGGTTGTACTGTGATGTACTGTTATACTTTATTATGTATCCGGTTGTACTGTGATGTACTGTTATTCTTTATTATACTGGTTGTACTGTGATGTACTGTTATTCTTTATTATACTGGTTGTACTGATAATAAAGTATAACAGCCAACTGTCTTCACTTCCCTATGTCACAAGATGCACTCTGCACTGCCAATTTTAAATTTTATTTTATCCATTACATAACATTCAGTGTCCAACTAATTAGAAACTGACAAGTGAGAATATAAACTTAGAAATTTTTGTCTGTTTTCTCTACTGAGAAATAAAAAAAATGTCTAGCCCACATGACACGCCCCATTCCATGTCATTTTGTGTTTCAAAAAACATCTTGAGATTGCTTTTCGATTATTAATAACCAATAGAGAAAGCAGCTCTTTCCTTTACAAGATTCTTTATGTAGTTATTTTGTTTGCTGTCCATAAGTGGACATTTAGCCTCAATTTCACTGTTTGCAATCATTCTTTTCGGCTCCAAAAAGCTAACAGATTTTTTAAATCTATTTATAACACAGTTAGAAAGCCAGTTAAATTGCAGAAGTTTTGGGACATTCTATTTTAGTGCCTCAGATATTTTTTGTGTTCTAAGATGTATATTTGAAATGATTTTGTGAAGAACTAACATAGTATTAAAAAAACTAGTGTTAAGGAAGTACATTCTCAAGTTCAAATTACTGAAATAGGTTTCAACTTTAATGCAAGTCCAAATGGTCTTTCACATATTTTTTGACAAAAGTAACTAAAATGTAAACAAATTGAAACTTATTAGGTTAGATAATAAAAAAAAGTAAATACAAAATAACTACAATAAATTTTCATAAGATCAACCCTGAGTGCATTTAACAACATGTGAAGAAACATTAATATAACAACATGGATGAGACTAGTCACATGTTATGTGTGGTCAACCCTACTATACGGTGTTGAAATATGTACAATATCTAAAACAACTGGTAAAAAGATTGAGAAATGAAAACATCTTGGACAGAACATAAGACAAATGAAGTATTAGAAATGATGAAAACTAAAAGAACACTGTTATCAATTATCAATAAAAGAAAATGTAAAAACTTTGGACATAACTAGGAGAAATGGAAAACAAAGACTGTTGGTAGAAGGAAAAATGAATAGGAAGAGGCAGACCAAGAAATATGTGTGGATGGATAACATCGAAGATTGGATGGGAACATCATATAGTAAGTGTGTTAGAATGGTAGAAAGAAGAGAACAATGGTGCTCCATGACATTCAACCGGCTTCGAGCGGATGACGCATGATGATGTCGACGAACAGAAACAAAAAAAAAATAGTTTTGTTTATATATATATATATTGGTTTTAAACTATTCACATTAATTCTAAAATTAGAAGAACTGACAAAAAAACTTTACTGAGAATTAAAATGCTTACTTAGCTTGAAGAATTCGGTGGTCAATAGCATCAATTGTACTACCATGCGCTACCCTAAAAGCACCAAGTAAGCTGGTCCTCCTCTTTCTTAATTTTTCACACTGAAAAAAGCAAATAATAATAAAAAATATAGTGAAAATTTGAAAACCATTTTTATCATATTAAACTAATAAATTGGTATATATACACACACACACACACATATATATATATATAAAGCGATAAACTTATATAGTACATAAACATAGTGTTAGTAGCATAAGGAGTTCTGAAAGAACTTTTAGGAATAATTACAGCTTTGTAATGGATATCTCCACCCACAAACTGGGTAATCATCATCCATTATCTCAAATACAAAGAACTCTTTTTTTTGTTATGGTTACAATAGTGCACTTAACAGAAAGTCCCTCACACACATCCCTTCAATAGGTCAATTAGATCAAACAGTACCAACTGCCTAAGCCTAAATAATATACCACACATGCTTAAAACTCAATTTCCCAATAAAAAGTCATTGCTTTGGTTAATTATTGGTAAAAACTGGAATGGTTCCTTGTTCTCAGTTTGTTTGGCGAAACAAGCTGAGAACAAGGAACAATTCAAGGCTTCCCAGCCAATGTTTAAGAAACAATAGATTGTAACATGAAAATTTGGGTATTTATATCTTCATTGACCAGAAAAATAAAGGTTTTTATAGGTTTTATGCTAATTCCTTTGGCAAACAACCAACTTTCCAATCTAAACAATTTATAAAATCAAAATATTATTGGGTTCGAAACAGGTTTATTATGTTTTCCAAAGAATAGTTACCAATTTCACTATCAGGCTTTTCTTTACCAATACCGTACTAATTTGCTGAAAAAAATAACTTAAAATGTTAGAAATAAAGGTCCTGCAAAATTGGAAATATTTGCATTTCGTAGTTTAGAAAGTTGAAAAAAAATATACGTTTTATAGGTCTTTTTCACAAAAATAGGACCATTTTCAAAACTTAGGTTTTGATAGGGTTTAGAAATTCACTGGAAGGCCTGTAATCCCTGCCATGAACACACATGTCTGTATTAAATACAGAAAAATAGCTGACCCTGATAGAACTTAAAACAGAAGTATATAAACAAAGCAGAGAGGGTGATGTTATGATCTGTGGTCACTTAGGAAATAAAATTATATCAAACAACCATACCTTAAGTACATATTTAATATAAACCAATAAATAAGAAGAAGGCACCCCTCAGTGGCTGCGGAGGGAGGTCTGCAGACTCACATGGCTAGAAACTGTGTTTCGATATACATGGTGGGCAGAGCACAGATAGACCATTGTGTAGCTTTGTGTTTAGTTAAACAGGAACCTTCATCGGGACAAAATGCATCAGAAAAGGAAGTATAGTGCAACATTACAGAAGCCTGGGTAAGAAGCAAGGTTTATTAATGAAAAATGATTGAGAATAATATAAGTATCTAACCAGGAGGTTACGAATTGAATTATTAGTTACAACAATTCCAAACATACCCCTTCTTTGGCATTGGCTAAATGCTGCTCGGCACTAGTTTTCTTTGCATTATAATGCCGTAGTTCAAGTTCATGGGTTAGCTGTAGCCAAAGCTGTAAAGCAGGAGGAGGAGACCAGTGGCTCGCCTCCAGTATCTTCTCCGCGTGACGTAAATCTTCTCGGACCTTTTCTAGTTCTTCCTTCAGTTGTTGAACATTTTCTGGGGTGGTACTCTCACTTTCCGTAGTTGTCTTACTCTGGTAAAGAAACCAGAGATTATAACAATATAATGGTAAACTCTAAGTTTGTATCTCTCTCTAAATTACAAGTTTCGCCAAAAAACAAAAGTAATGTTGGAACTGTTTATCAGTACCAGATTTTTCCATTTTTCACTTAAAATTCAACAACAAACTCTACCAGTTGATCTGCATCTTAATAATATCCATTGAAATAATTTTTTTAAAAACAACATTCATAAGACACAGATATAGTTCATTCTACAAACTTATAAAACACTTTAAAAAATTATAGCTGACCTTCACTTCACAACAATCTTATATGTGACATTTGCCTGTGTAATAATCAACAAGTACAACCAGTATAATAAAGTATAACAGTACATCACAAGTACAACCAGTTAGACTGACTAACGTACGTGTTGGTAGACTGACTTAGATATGTGTTGGTAGACTGACTAACGTACGTTTTGGTAGACTGACTAACGTACGTGTTGGTAGACTGACTGACGTACGTGTTGGTAGACTGACTGACGTACGTGTTGGTAGACTGACTAACGTACGTGTTGGTAAACTGACTAACGTACGTGTTGGTAGACTGACTAACGTACGTGTTGGTAGACTGACTAACGTACGTGTTGGTAGACTGACTGTTGTTGAGGGGTAAGATGTGTAGCTTAGAAAAATATAGATTAACATATTCTTAAAGTAAGCAGTTTTGATGACATTTGTGTTCTTTGTTGCCCTTTAAATTTAGTCAGATTTATTTTTAACTTTTATGAGTTTTGTGAGAACGTATCTGAATATTTTCAAATATGGGAGTAACTGTAACTTAAATTTGCAAGTGTTCAGTAACGCATCTT